ACGAACTATCAAGAATATATCAGAGTTAGTCTGACATAATTTGTTCCTAGAATCATTGCCAGAAAAGATCACGTTATTCTAGCTCGTTCATCTGGATTGTTTGTCGTGAGTTTACACTAAGATTCATGATCCGTCATACGAACTATCAAGAATATATCAGAGTTAGTCTGACATAATTTGTTCCTAGAATCATTGCCAGAAAAGATCACGTTATTCTAGCTCGTTCATCTGGATTGTTTGTCGTGAGTTTACACTAAGATTCATGATCCGTCATACGAACTATCAAGAATATATCAGAGTTAGTCTGACATAATTTGTTCCTAGAATCATTGCCAGAAAAGATCACGTTATTCTAGCTCGTTCATCTGGATTGTTTGTCGTGAGTTTACACTAAGATTCATGATCCGTCATACGAACTATCAAGAATATATCAGAGTTAGTCTGACATAATTTGTTCCTAGAATCATTGCCAGAAAAGATCACGTTATTCTAGCTCGTTCATCTGGATTGTTTGTCGTGAGTTTACACTAAGATTCATGATCCGTCATACGAACTATCAAGAATATATCAGAGTTAGTCTGACATAATTTGTTCCTAGAATCATTGCCAGAAAAGATCACGTTATTCTAGCTCGTTCATCTGGATTGTTTGTCGTGAGTTTACACTAAGATTCATGATCCGTCATACGAACTATCAAGAATATATCAGAGTTAGTCTGACATAATTTGTTCCTAGAATCATTGCCAGAAAAGATCACGTTATTCTAGCTCGTTCATCTGGATTGTTTGTCGTGAGTTTACACTAAGATTCATGATCCGTCATACGAACTATCAAGAAAATATCAGAGTTAGTCTGACATAATTTGTCCCCAGAATCATTGCCAGAAAAGATCACGTTATTCTAGCTCGTTCATCTGATTGTAGTTTGTCTCGTGTTTACATTAAGACGGATGATCTATCAGACAGACGATGCATGTTCAGCAGTCTCTGGTATGAATGAGGTCACTCACTAGCTTGGTACTTTGCCCCTTTTGTATTTCATCTCGTCCTCAGACCTCTTTCTTTCCAATTCCTCGCTCGCTACGGCTGACGGAGCACGACGTCGTGGGCCTGGGGACGAGGTTATATGACGGATGTTCTTCGAGATGTGATTGACCTTAGTTTGCTTCGCTTTTTCCTGAAATGGAAATTCAGTGGAGATAAAATATTTCTCAGTGTCTCAACAAAGCATCTCGCTAGCAAGCGCCGGTTCATCAAACCAGAGACCTTACGATTACAATTAGCATTTCTATAGCACAAATTCAAATGCGTTTCACATCAAGTATTACGCTAACCTAATTCCATACTTAGCTTAGATTATTTATCTTTACAAAAATTGTGATATTACTTTCTTAACTGTGTTTAACCCACCCTGTCAACTTTCCCTGTGGGAGGAAACCAGAGCACTCAGAGAAAACCCTTGGCAGAGCATTGATTGGCAGGTTTTCAGGCAATTCAGAATACAAGGAACCAACTAGGGATCCAAGGATAGTGTGAAGTTTCAAACTGCAAGAACTATATAGGGTCGCCGACAACCTAGAAAAGCTTGATGGCTTACACTACGAAATAAACAGTTACCAAAGGCATTTCATCTCATTATTTATTTCTTTTAATACGCTCGGCACACGAGTAGCGTGACGTTTGAAACAAGCCTAACACATCAGAAACGTGCCTTGTGAAACTGATGCAATTCATCTATTTAATGTGTCACCAACAACCAAATTTTGCATATTCTAAATTTTCATTTGCATTTGCAGCTGTCGCTGAAAGCATCCCCACGAGGCTACTGCTATGCTAAATTTATCTAATAAACTATAATTGAAATAGCTGTATAAGATATGTTATGAATAATAAGCACTACGTCGTTACATCATTAAAAGACGCATTTTATCCTCATCCGTTCCGTATTTTATCCGCATATCCGTTCCGTGGATCCGCTCCATCCGCTTCCGCATTTTAACTTAATTGTGACATGTTTCACAATAACAAGTTTCATTGACCTTTGACTTTTCCCAGTGTGACGTGTGTCTATTTTCAGCTTTTCGCATGTGTTGAATATAAATATCACTTTAGATTTCAATAGCCATCTATTCTGTGATGTAGCACCTTATACAGTCAATGAGAATGTATAATGAATACACGGTCTAAATAATATCGACGGTAATGCATAACATCAATTTATATATTGTATTACTATTATTGCGTAGAATCTCAAAGATTTTCTCAATATTCATGTCTGAAATGTTTATATACTTGAAAACAACACTGTCTCGCTTCTGCCTGCACGTACTGTACCTCTGTATAATGAGTATGCCGTGAAAATAATATCGGCACTCAATTGAATGCCTAGAAGCAAGATTTTCGACTCAATATTTACGTGTAGGCGGTCTAGCTCCTTCCTAGCTCTGTATAATGAATATACCGTCTAAATATTATCGGCACTTATTAAATTGAACGCCCGTAATGCATAAGATCAATTTATATATTGCGTAGATTTTCAAAGATTTACTCAATATTCACGTCTGAAATCTTTATACATTTGAAAACAACACTGTCACCCCTTCCTAGCATATCGTCACGCCATTGTGATCTACGGCTTGATAGCGCATGCGCATTTGCGCTACTAAAGAAAAAATCGGCTGTTCCGGGGTAAAGATCCTTTACACAACATGAGAAGCGAATGTTCTAAAATTTACAAAAAATTACAATAACGAAAGCGATTCCTCGAAATTTTTGTGAACTTGGCAAAAGGATAACAGAATATGTAAATAAGTTAACTGAAATTGCCTAAATACCTTCAAAGTACTGACTAAGTACAATAAATCAATACGAACATAAATCGTATACACCCCCCCGGAAAGTTTACTCTATGACTGACTGACTGTTTGACTGATTCGTGTGAATTCGCCAGCCATCACAATAGTGTGAAGTGAAACTTCACACTAAAAACTGGTCAACATTGCAATGTACACCACTCCTCTATATTTTTTTCGTTTTGAAAACGAATGTGGGTCCAACTATCATATCTAAAATTACCTTAATATAATATAATTTGAATTTTGGGAATTGCAAACTGTTGTTACCTTGGCGACGTCAATGCTTAGTCTTGGAACACTTTGTTTATCTTCAGGAGGTACCACTGACCTCACAGAAACTGGACGATCACGCATAGGAGACCCACTACGTTTATCTTCAGGAGGTACCACTGATCTTGCAGAACCTGCACGATCACGCATAGGGGACCCACTACGCGAGTGTTTACGTCGGACCGATTTTGACGTTGATCTAGGAGCCTGGGGAGTACCCTGCAAAGTAAGTTGGGATAATATGAGAAATATTTAGAAGAGCCAAGTTAGTTGTTAGGAAAGCTAGAGCTGCAACCTTTGCCATTGCTGTAATTTTACAAAATGTGTAGTGCCCCCCCCATTTCCCCTGTGGGGGGAGGGAGGTGGAATAAATGTACCAGTATCAAGAAATGATATAATATATCTGAATGCAATATAGTGCATGTAAAAACTAAATTATCAAAGATTGTAGCTGACGGCTATAAAACAAATGTTTGTGTGGTCTTCATGTCTTCTTTTTGTTCCTTTCTTCTTCCTTTTACTCCTTCCAACCATTCTTCATTTCAATCTTCCTTCAGTCCTTCCAATATTTTCTTTCCATCCAACTTCCATTCATTCATTCTTTTCTCCCAACCTTTCATCCTTTCTTTCTTACCATTCACCCATCTTTCATTTACATTTATTTATGAACAATATTTAAGAGTTCTGTTTATTCATTCACTCCATCCTACCATTCTTCCTTTCATCATTCATTTTCTCCTTTTCATTCTTTCCTTCATTTCTTCCACCCATCCATCCTTACATGTTGATAACTTTCCTTTCTTTCATTCCTCCTTCTATTCTTTTCATCCATCCTTTCTTTTTCACTTAATTTTGCTTATATCCATTATTTCCTTCTTTCCATATGTTAATCTTTGCATTCTTCCTTCCATTCATCCTTCTCTCATTTTTATTCCTCTTTCTTTTGTTTTTCCTTTCCTGTCCTTGTTTCTTCATTTCTTTCTTTCCTTCCACAGATTCTTCCTTCCTTCCACTCATCCTCCCCCACCTTCTTTTTACTTCCTTATTTAAAAACAATCTATACCACTTGTCCACTTTACAACTTGACCTACCTTAACTTCTTGAGCAACTTTAGACTCTACGTGTTCGTATTTATCAGATTTGTGAAGAACTTTTAACGGCTCCCTTGCACTCGAAACACTTTCACTTTCCCGATGGGATTTCTGAATAGTTTTAATTTGTTTTGTATTTTCTTTGATAAAGTTTCGTTTCACTTCATGCGTACCTGCAAAAAGATGGTTAAATGTAAATACGATGGCAAACGTTGGGTACACTGCCATCTTGTGATGATCAATATAGGTCTAGAAAATACATTTTTCTTCTTGGCAGCAAAATCCAAAAATCCAAATTTCTTGTGTAACTGAAATATACAATTTCCTGCATATGTAGATTTCAGAGAATACATTGTGATAAACAATTTTGTGGTGGACAATCTCTATTAGACTTGCCCACAAGTTGATCTCAAAATCTCGATTTGCAAAATGCTTTTGTAAACAATAAATAAATTATATGGCTTTCCAGTATATCAAATGACATACATTTCCGGCAAGATGTGAGAAAATTCAATGCTTAAAGGTGCTTTGTTTACATTTTGAACTCACTGCTACAGTTGTAAAATATGATTAGATATATATTATACTGAATTTTTAACACTCTTCTGGTTCCCTATGCTTGTAAATGAATACAGACTAGAGATTCAATTCAAGAAAGTTCGGAAGGTCCAAAATATTAATAACATTCCAATGGTCGGGTCCCGACCATTGGAATGTTGGCTTGCGCAGAACGTATGCGCAGAACAGACTTTACATCATCTTTAAAAAACATCATTCCAGGAGCCTTCAAGATGTGTAATCTGACAGATCAACAGTGTTGGTGTAAATTCAAGACAAACTAATTACAATAAACATGATTTATCTTGACAATGATTCTGGGAACAAGTCACGTCTGGTATTTTCTTGATAGTTTGTCTAGCTCTGTTTATAGACATGCATCATATATCAAGAACCACACAGTGAAGTTGTGTTGTCTGTGTTTGCAAACTTACAGATAGTCCTTGAAGGAAGAACTATATACCTTTCCTTTGCCAAACTACAGATCAGCTATCTCTAGTATAATTCTGATTATTGAATAGAATTACTTGGTTTTGGGGAATCATATTTGATTTTCAACCATTTGTCAGTGCAAAAAGCAATATTAATATCTAAACCATTACATATACAGTATTTTACAGTTTACAGTACCAATGCATTGTCAATGCATGTTTTTGGTGGCATGTTTTCAATAATTACTCAGTTGTAGTAAACTGTAAAGTAGTGTTTAACCAAACAATACTACCTGATCTGCTAGTACTTCGGAATGACGGTGGTTTTGAATAAGGATTAAAAAGTTGTGCAACAGATCCTTGGTTCTTTATTGCAATCATCATAGCCTCTGGTTTAATCCTTGGTTTAGGACGCGTATGATCAATTTCTCTTACTAATGCAGTATCTGAACGTCTTGTTTGAAAGCCAGGATCAGTTGGAATCGTCCATGTATTAACTACAGCCATGATCAGAAAATATACTCACATATAAACTCCAAAAGAGCAAAACTATGATATGTTTATTTATATATAGTCACTGGTTAAAAATCGCTTTATTTTCTCGTAAAAACACTGGATTTCTTCTTGTAGCGTACAAATAATATTCCCGTTGTCTTGCTAAGTTCTCGTAGTAACTTATTTATCCAGATTTTGGTCAGATTTTTAAAGAAAAACCAACTTTTTTGAAGAAAAATCAATTTCCCCACTCCAGTGTTTACTTTCCATGGCAGCCGTTGTAATCTAATCACGTGACAAAACACTCGCGCGGTCAGAAAGAATGGAAGAATGGGGACGAGGTGTTTAGAATTTTTCGTATTTTATTTTTTATTTCTTTATTATTTCTTTTGTAAGTTTGCTTCATCACTTCGTATTTTCCTGTTCGTCTAATGACGTTTACGCACGTAAAACGCACAAGTTGTAACAAGTCTGCAAACAAGTTGTTACAAGTCTGTTCACAAGCTGTCAACAAGTTGTGTTCGCACTGCTTGTTCCCAGTTGTTGTAAGAAGTTTGAAACAAGCTGTTAACAACTTGTAACAAGCTTGATGGCATTATCAGCCTTGTTACAAGACTGTGCGAACAAATTTGTTACAGCAATGATATAACAAGGATGTTACAACTTACAAGGTTGTCAATACAAGGTTGTAACAATTTTGTTATATCAAGCATGTATAAACGGCTTGTCAGATCAATCTTGCAACAAGTCTGATAATTTCGACAAGGTTGTTACAAGTTGTCAAGAAGTTGTTCCAAACCTGTTGACAAATTGTGACAAGCAGTGCGAACACAACTTGTTGACGGCTTGTTGACAGACTTGTTACAAGATGTGAGATTTTTACATGTGTAATACCGACACACATAGACAGGTCATCCACTCATCTAGACGAACCACGTGCGCAAAGTCATTTGAGTTTTTCTCACTCATTGGTCAGCGGACTTCCCAACAGGATATTGGCCAATTGATAGGGGATCTGAGGTACTGACGAGTTTGTCGGTTAACCGAGTCGAATCCGAGTCCGAGTCAAATCCGAGGCCGAGTCAAATGTCCGAGTCATTGTTTAATCGATGGTCTTTGCAGTTCAATGACTTAGTACCCTAATCCTAACCATAATCCCACTCCTAACTTACCCTAAACCTATTCAACTGTGAATTTTATTCAATTTCGGAGTTTGTCGGTTACTGACCGACTCAAATCCGAGTTCGAGTCAGATGTCCGAGTCACTGTTTAACTGTCTTTGCTGGTAAAATGACTTAGTACCCTAGCTAGCCCTAAACCTACACCTAACCCTATTCGACTGTGAATTTTCTAGTTCACTTTCGTCTTTTTTTTACGCGACTCGGCCGTTTGACTCGGACTCGGGATCGACTCGGACTCGGATTTGACTCGATGTCAATGTAAAGGTAGTTCTTTCTCCTCAATTACTTTAAGACCTTGAGTAGAGATCCAACCAAGGATTGAAGCCGGCTCTCCCAGCTTGAAACGCAAGCGTGACACCACAAATGCTGCTCTTTGTGTAGAGCATTAGAGGAACTACGCAAATAGTTCATCTTCAGATGATAATTTGAATCGTGAATTAATTTGTCCGGTGGTTGCATTAGCGCGAGTTATACTAGAAATGTGTGATCGGTCTGGATGAACTTCAGTATAAATCATAGTCTAGATTTTACGACTGCTGTTTTAGCTGGCTCGTAAAATGATGACAGTCTCTTTCGAAACGTCGAAATTCTTCTTAATTGTATTTATCAGGGAATTGTATTTCTATCAATCCCAAGCTGACAAAAGGCTGTCATATGATATCAATTTAATCTTCAGAATGAGAAGATTTACAGTAATAAGATTATCTTGATAAATTCTCTCCAAATAATCACACATGCCTTAAAACAACAAAACGCTCATTAGTAGAACATGATCTTTTGTAAAGCTCCATCCATTGTGAGCCAATATTTAGAATACAAGGCAAATAAACCCCCAGACACAAAGACGAAATTCATGAAGGACTTTAAATGAGATATTTACAGTGTTAATGAACACTGTTGCGAAAACAAAATATTACAATGAACAACGTCAAGGAGCAGACAAAGCTGTCAAAAACAAACAAAACAATGATAGATCGTGTTTTAATAACAATTATCTTTCTTTCACAAAAGCAATCAGTTTAATTCGAGATTTAATTTACATTATCAACGTGGCTGACTGTGCGTATTGTCACTATTGTGTCAATAGTTTGTACATATGCAGAGCACTAAATCAATTCATGAATACTTGGACATTCAATGCAGTTAATTATCACAATATCACTCAAATGTCATTCAAACATCGAACTATATTCATGTGTCAAAAGTCATTTATTGGTTCCTCACAGTTTTGAAGGATTTGCAAGAAATGTTCGAAGAAACTGACTCAGTGATTAACATTAATTAAGTCAGTTTCCTCAAACGTTTCTTACAAATCCTTCACTGAAAATTTACCTATGCAAAATTCCTACTGTGATCACAGAAACTTTGATGTAAACCCGGTCTTACTGCTTTTCGTCTTCTGTAGGAGTGTAGCCTGGCAACAACTGTATGAATAACAAGTGTCCTTACGGGACGTTTACAGAGAACAGTTTCGCGAGCCAGTTACTTTATTTCCTAGTAGCCGAGAGGTTTCTGGAAGAGGTTATTTCGCTGGCCTCAGAGTGACAAAACGTAACAAAACAACGGTGTTACAAACACTAACCCTATTCCAAACACCAACTCTAACCGCAACCCTAATCCTTACCCTAATCTAACCTAACCCTACTCCAAGTTTGTTTCTAAACCAATCTTGAAGAAAAGTTTTTTGACAAAATGTCATTCTGAGGTCAGCGAAATAACTTTTTCCGAGGTTTCTCCTGTCGAAACACTGAACCAATGATGAACTGGACTCTTTCTGGACCCCTACGACGTAGAACTGTTTAACATCGATATAATTATCCTGACGATTTAGCATTTACCTGCAAAATGAACAATCAGTGAGCAAAAAACCGCAAATCGTACAGTACAACAATGGATGTTCATATTCGTGACCTCGACGAGACAGAGCATTGCAGCTGTGTGAAATAATGAATGTATCCCGTTGAATCCACATGGCTTGATTTACTTAATTACTGTAACAAACAATGCTCAATCAAAGTAAATTATTTTAATTTTAATAAAGCCAGTCAATAAATAACTTTTTTGGGCTTAGTCAAAGCCAGTCAATAAAGAATTTTGTTTAGTTTATGAGTGTGTACAGTACCAGGCCGCAGTTTGTGGTCATACATATACAATATAATGTTCCTGAAACCATACATGCAATATAATATTCGTGAAACCATGCATGCAATACAATATTTGTGAAACTATACAATATAATATTCGTGATACCATACAATATAATATTCGTGAAACTACACAATACAATATTGTTCATATACAATTCAAAAAAGATATAAATAAAAATATCGACACTAAAGCAGCAGTCTTGATCCAGCCGCGGCAAACAACAACAACTCAAAGGAACCAAACACATCATTAACTATCTTTAATGACTCATTATTCATCGACAAACAACGACAATGTAGTCACATGTACATGTAATTTTTTACGGTTTTGTAATCACATGTTAGCTTTTGGCACTAAAAGCCGGCAGCTGTGGTTCGTGTATTTGAACCGCGGAGGCACGTCAGCAATCTTTTCAGGTAGTTCAGCCACAAACCACGTACCGATAATTTAATGTAGAATACTACATACACTGGACCACCACGTCTGAGTGATATCTTTTTCAGCCGTAGTTCAGACACAAACCACGGCAGCTTATTGCAGAATACTACCTACACTGGATTACTACTAACACTTCACCTGAGATTTCAAAATCTTTGGGAAATAGAAATTTTATTCAGCGTTGACTACAATTTATGACCATTTTTGCCGAATAATTGGTTATTATAAACAATAAAGAATACGAACAAGCATTCTTAATGACAAATCGTGTTCAAACAAAGCCAACATTAAATTGTTTAATATTGTGAAATTGAATATAATTGAATTTTACTGTACACTAAATTTATCCGGTATAGAAACTGAATTCCGGAATATATGACTCCAGTTTTTACTATGGAGCTTGTGGATTTTCCCGCCTTGAGCGTATGTTTTCATTGGCTAACACTCCTAAACTTTTCTCACTTCTGATTGGCTAGATAACTCAGTAATCGAAAAAATATGCACTGAGGAATGAATATAGACGGCCATAGACAATAATTATATAATTATTTTTCTCGGCGAATTTTTCTTTTGTATTTAATGTTATAGAAGCATCAATATTTACATACTTGGATCTCTAAAATAACGTTATAAAAATTAAAAATAATATCTCTTTAGTTTCTTGTAGATTTGCTAAACAAAGATGATAATTTATCACATTTATTTAGCTTTCGAGCCGTAAGCCCGAATCCGAGTACGAAACGATTTGCAAAATAAATATCCGTGGAGATTCACACAAAAATGAAGCAAATCATAAGGCTACATTTACATATATCCCGGATATAGTTTTCCATAGCGACGCGAAAAAGCACCAATATTCGATACGGGATGTACAACTTTCAGAAGCTAAGCGAAACAACATCTCATAGTTCTCTCCGTATTAATTCCTAAATGCCTTGGGAACGAGGTTGAATAATTCCTCTGAAGATAGCGTTCCTAAAAGGTACGGATAGGTCTTTTTAACTGCCTGGGGAATACAAGAGAACTCCAACGTTTCCAGTGAAGACCCTGTGGTTATACTAACTTCCCTAAGCGCCTTCTCAACTGAAACTTTCTTATTATTGCTACTACTTATACTACCACAGATCGTTCATGATTATAATAACCTATTCATTTTATAATTGAAAATTAAATTTCAAGTTGTTGGACAATAAACTAAGTCTCTGCGTGACACTCATTCCATTCACTATATGATGTTGATTACCACCTCGTGTCACTAAAGTTTCCGTATGTCCCTCATTCCCCCCATTATTTAATGTCTCCCACAGATCTTGGATGTAGTTGCAAGCTATTCGCAATATTTCAAGTTTGGTAACGCGGCGTTTAGTCTTGGGCAGCGGAATGCAACGTTTCAAATTGTTGAGAGCGCCATTGAGCGATTTCATCCTTCGACGTTCACGGTCATTTGCGCGTTGTCTCCGAAGACGCTTCAGGGGCTCTCTCGGGACTGATTCGGTAATGTTCGTAGGGAGTTCGTCTTCATCGTCTGCATCGCATTTTCCCGCCTCGTTCCCAGTACACTCAGCTTGGTCAGACGGCCAGTTCCATCCCAGTGATTTCGAATGTTCATCAAAGCATGAATTATTCATTGTTTCGTATATTGAAGGAATGTTTAATAATCCTATGTCCTCTGTAGGGGTACAAAACCTATTCCCTGGGTGTGATTCTGTTGAAATTTCAGCTGTAGGACAAAAATTGCTCTCCATAATTCGCGGTGGTTGATTGTGTTGTGTTTCAATCTCCACAGGGGTGTATGCCATTACCGCGCCAGGCGGGAGGTCTGAGATCCAGTCACATGACGTTGTACAAGAGATGTTCATCACAGAATCTAGAAAAAAGTTGAATTTTGAAAAAAAACCTTTTGAACTCAAAATCATCAGGTCTTTTAAGGAAAAGGTTAATGGGAGGTTGTCAGTTAACAGCGATAATTCAAGTCAATTATAGGCTACAAAGAGAAATATGCTCTGGAATATTTGTGGGTCGTCAAAACTCCCAATAAAAATATATGCAACAAGGAAACGTTTGAACGTTTGCTCATTTTCTGTTTCAATTCAAGATCAATTCCACATTTATGGTTTCAAGTAAGAGGCACGTCAATTGAATGAAATGATGGAAAACGAACTTTGCTGCATGATCTGTGGTCATAGAAGACTATCACATCTGAGAACCTCATATGAAACTTCAAAGAAAATCTGATATACGAATTTTCCAACAATTGCGCAAAAAAATCCTCGAATACTTTTAGAAAACACTTACATATTACAATTTGTAACCAATTAATATTTTGTGAGGTTAATTTAAGCATTATTGAGTAATACAAGTTCAATTCGACTGACTAACAATTATAATATTATTCAAAGAGCACAATTTTCGATCACTTAAAATCACTCTGACAAAACACTGCAACGTTATTGAGCACATACTTATGCAAATACACTTACCAAAAACTATTTCCCAACCAAGAATACTGTGAACTCTTTCTTAGTGTAGTTTTTTTAAAATGTTGTCAGGAAAGATGTCTTTATGTCGAAAGTGCTCCTCCACAAGTGCCAGGCAGCGTCTGACTAACGCGAGTTGCGCCGAGCGTCATTTATACGGACACACGCGCGCACCCTAATTGAGGAGAAACAATAGTTGAATGGTTGCTTACCCAAACTTCAAGATTGCATGTCATTTCATGTAACCGCGTTTTCACGCGTTTGTGTGAATAATTATCCATGGCTAAATGAGCGTCTCTTGGCTGGCAGTTTTGTTCCGAGACGCGCAAAACGCATAAAGTCGAGTAGAGTTGTGAAACTCAATTGTGTAATGAATGATTGCTCATATCATTTGTATACAATGAAACAATGACCAGTTCTAGCCTGCCTGACGTACATTGACTCTACGCATGTGCTGCGTGCATGCACCCCGTTGTTCAGCGATTAAAGTTGTTTGTAATATCTAGACTGACTTTGATTCCCACGAGTGATACCCTCAATTACCCAGGTGACGAGATTCATTAGAAATTACACTTCAAATCCTAGCCATCCTAGCTCAAAGTTGTTTACAGCAAAGATACAGCCTCATAAGTTAATCAATACTCAAACAATCATGTCTAGTAATTTCAAGTAACGTTGTCTTAGAGATAAACTTTCCAAAAAAGTCTCATTCTCTAAATGGCAACGACAGATGTTTTAAACAAATATATTCACTTTATCAATTTTTAAACGCGCATGCGCCTTCATGTTAAAGTTTAAAAGGCCATCCCCTTAAGCTGGTTAAGTAAAATGATACATTTTAGTCGTTAGTGGCAGATGATAATGTAATTGACCAGTAATTTCAGTATATTTGGCTTGTCTTGTTGCCTCAAGGGCTATTTAAAGCCAATTTTAATAATTTTATTGTTTGTTGAAGTTAATTTATTTAAAAAAAAGAATGGAAAGAAAAAAGGTATCCTAGGACAGTTCTTTAATGTGTACAATTATTTCAAACAAGCAATATGTTAGAAAACAACATGGAAACCTTACAAATTGATGCCTAAAATTAAAAACATAGTCAATTTAAAGTTGCTGGTTAAAAATGCTGCTATTCATTCGTTCAGAAAATACATATTTAATGAAAAAAAATTAAAGGAATTTTTTGTAGGTAATTTCCTGAGAAAAACAGTTTTAAAAATGAGTCTAAAATGAAATGAGTATTAAATTTTGTCTTAAAACTGTGAATTTTCACATGAATTGAGGGAAAAGTGTAAGAATGAGTTCGTTGCTATTTGGAACACGTTCTCAAAGATTGAATAAGAAAATTAGTGATGTTTATGCGAACTCGGTAAGTGAGAAAGTCTCTCACATGTTCAGCAACATGTTGCATTGTACAACCATTGTCTTGCCTAAAACAAAAGGTAAATTACCTCTGAATGCCGAACATCAATAACAAGAGAAAACTTCACTTCATATTCTTCATTTTGGGGGGTAGAAACACCCTAAAAATACGCCCAAAACTGGGGATGAGCCCCCTTGGAAGTATTGGAATGTTGGAGCAAATTGTAAATGGCTCCTGCCAGTTGCAGCCACGGTTTTTGACTAATCAGAAATCATGTTGTTTGATAATGACTTTAATATTTTCTATGGCATGTTAATTTTGCAAAAGGCGGCACTCTCGACTTCTGTTAGGAGCACGTGCTAGTGAACCAATCAAGTCTCGCTCCCACATCGTTGTGAGACGTTAACACGCTCATCCATCAACGCTCAATAAAGAGATTGTTAATAAACTTTAAGCTTAAACAATGTGAACACGTTTTTGCACTATACCAAACGAGGCGGATTTTATTCATCAACATATGAGGTATGCATTAATACGACTCTCTCTCTAATGCAACCACTCGGACCCATTTAGCACTTTGTCCCAACATTTTTTTACACTTTCGAGCATCAATCATACGTTCTGCAAACATTAAACAACACGTTTAGGCAGAAATGATAAATATTAATAAAATACAAGCTTGGTAAAAAGATTATCAACACTAACATATACTCACCTAATACTTCGACACTTCATACAACATCCCCACATGGGCAAAATGAAAAAAAAGTGTCGTGGAACAATAAAAGATTTGAAAACTGAAGATGATAAAATAATTCAGTATATATTTTGTTTAAAGTACACAACACTGAAGCTAGGTTCGTTTCATTGTAAGAATGAGCATGAAACATAATTTGAAACGATTTCTTTATTACCCTTGGACATGCTAGGAAAACAGGCCATAGTTTTGATTGGAATGATGAAAGATTGATGTATATTAGAACTACATGTTCGTGTATGCTGACTGAGTGATTGGTTTTTATGTCAATGACATCGCTAGGATTTGGGATTCTGCAGCTTGTGAACATTAACAAATTTAGTGTAATACGAAATTTCCTTGGTAAAAAGTAATTTGTAAAGTGAAAAAGATGTCATAATTATTACAGAAATATAGATCAAATTACAACAGTCATTCAAAACGAAAAATACAATGGTGTTTGACTTTTTATCCAGTTTCGTCGCAATTAATAAATCTGCAATAAGATATAAATCTTAAAGTTATAGCACAAAACGAGTACAGAAAATAAGCTTAGTGCGTGTTTTATACGCTCTTAACAATAAACTTAACGGGCTAATTTGTAAAAAGTGGTAAATGTAACCGCTTTTGTAAAGAATCACTATTGTTAAGCTTCTCCTAGCGGTCCTCTCTCTAAGCTTCTCATTAAGCTGTCATAAGTTGTTGTAATTGTAGCAGAAGGTCAGAGGGATATTTTCAAAATGGTATGCAAAATTTTGGTTAGAAATTACGCAGTGGTCGTATTGTATGTTGTGTTTTGATAAGTGTTGGTTTAAGAGGACAAACAGTAGCTACGTGTTGAGTTCAATATCAAGTTTTCTCTATGAGTGTTTATAACGCTTTTCTTTTCAAAGAGGACCTGCTAACGCTTTACGTTGTTCATTCTCCTGTAATTATCTTAAATTGATCTATTCACTCTATTAGCTTTGTGTGGCTTGTTGTTCAGATATTCAATTGAATTGTTCGTCATTCATTACAACTTGTTCTCACAACAACACAATTTAAAAGGTCGTTTCTTAAATATAAAACAATTTTCCTTAATGATCCTATTTCCACTAGAAACGCTTTCAAACTGATACATGATACATGATATACATTACACAGTTGCCAGGCCGAGACAGAAAATGATCATTATACTGCCCTGACCAGGGGGGTATGAGAATACTAATATAGTCGATAATATACTGGCTCAATATACCTGTCAGTAGGCTGGCCTAAAATGCCCGGCTATGTCAGCCTGAAGTCTTAATCTTTAGTAAATGTAGGATACTTTATACCCGTGTTTGAACATATTTTAACAATAAAATACTGTATCAAAAGTTAAATGGTCAAAATACCAATATAGTCAATATACCTGAAAAGGTCAGATTATCTATTTTATTTTTAAAAGTCAGTGTTTTATTTCACTGTCTACTGCCTCTGACTTGAAAGGATATTCTGGTTAACAATCAACTTTCATGACAATCTGAAGGCTGGAAATTTGAACTTGCAACTTTGTTACTTAATTGTTGTATCAAATGTAAAACTCAACCATAACAAGTTACTTTTGGTAAAACACACTAAATATCGCATTACCACTAGCTTATATAACGAAAGTTTAATAATAAGCTACCGTGCTTTGTGTTTAACTGAACTACCTAAAAAATCCTCAAACGTGGAATTCGGTAATTGGAATTCTACAATAAGCTGCCGTATTTCAAACGTGGTGGTCCAGTGTAACTGGTATTCTACAATAAGCTGCCGATCGAGGTTTGTGTCTCGGAACTGCAGCTGGAAAAAATATCTCAAACGTGGTGGTCCAGTGTAGGTAGTATTCTATCTACAATAAGCTGCCGTTGTTTGTGTCTGAAGTACCTGAAAAAGATATCTCAAACGCGGCGGTCCAGCGCAGGTGGTATTCTACAATAAGCTGCCGTGGTTTGTGTCGGAAGTACCTGGAAAAGATATCTCAAACGTGGTGGTCCAGTGTAGGTACTTGTAGGTAGTATTCTACAATAAGCTGCCGTGGTTTGTGTCGGAAGTACCTGGAAAAGATATCTCATGCAAACGTGGTGGTCCAGTGTAACTGGTATTCTACAATAAGCTGCCGTGGTTTGTGTCGGAAGTACCTGGAAAAGATATCTCAAACGCGGCGGTCCAGCGTAGGTGGTATTCTACAATAAGCTGCCGTGGTTTGTGTCGGAAGTA